ATGAAAATGTCGGAGCTGAAGTTAATAAACGACGAGATTAAGATTAAGGAGAGCGTACAGAGATAGTTTGGCCATATTGAAGGCCTGGAGGATGGTCACCTTGCGGTGGTTGAGCTCTGGCTCTTTGGTCCCGCCTCTCAACCCTCAATCAACTGGTGTACAGGTGCAGGCGATGAGTCACAATAACGTGGCTGAAGTATGTGTGAAGGGACGAGGACGTTTCGGTCCGTCCTGGACCATTATCAAGTCTGTACAGGCCTGAGCCTTGGGCTCTATCATATCTACATTTAATACTGTGTATGGAGTCAGCCTCCACCACATCACTGCCTAATGCATTCCACCTGTTAACTACTCTGACACTGAAAAAGTTCTTTTTAACATCTTTGTGGCTCATGTGGGTACTCAATTTCCACCTGTGTCCCCTTGTTCGCGTACCACCCGTGTTAAACAGTTTATCTTTATCTACCGTCAATTCCCCTGAGGATTTTGTAGGTAGTGATCATGTCTCCCCTTACTCTTCTGTCTTCCAGTGTCGTGAGGTGCATTTCTCACAGCCTTTGGCAGCCCTAAGTGTTATATTCTTGGGGGCAAAGTGCTTGTAGCTCCTAAGTATCCTGTCTTATATTGTATTTAATGTATCCTCGTGGTTAATGGGCCCATGGGAGTTTTTAGTAACTCATTCAATAACAAAAATAATAATCACCCCACCAGACATCTTCACAACCCCCCACCCCATCACCAACAACACCCCCCCTATTACCCCTCTCTCACCTCTCCTCCACAAGCAGGGTGAAGTCCCCACTACCACCACTACCACCACCACCAATGGCTACAGTCACTTCCCACCCTTCTGGGAAGACGACCAGAACCCCCCAACCCAACCCCACCCCACCCTTCCTCAACCCCACCCCATCCCATCCCCAGCCTGGTCTAAGGGACCCTCGCTCAATGCTTCATCAGAGCGTGAAAGCTAGGCAGTTGGTTCAGTTTTTGTTCCTTAGAGTGCTTGTGCGCACGTGAGTTCCAGCGGCGGTGTGATCTAGAGTGTTTCAAGCGTAGGTTATACAGCCAATAATGTATGAATGAGTTTGAGTGGATATAATTAGGAGCTGCATCATATGGGCACATTAGCTGGCGATAATAGGTCTACTGCAGTTTATTTAATTAGTGTGTTCATGTTGACCAGACCACACACACTAGAAGGTGAAGGGACGACGATGTTTCGGTCCGTCCTGGACCATTCTCAAGTCGACTTGAGAATGGTCCAGGACGGACTGAAACGTCGTCGTCCCTTCACCTTCTAGTTTGTGGTCTGGTCAACATAATTTAACCCCGTTATTGTGACTTATCGCCTGTATATTGTGTTGTTACTTGTGGCCCCCTGCGGTGTTCTCGTGTTCTTGCTGCAGTGTTCCTGTGAACATGCAACACCTTGTTGTGTTCTTGTTGTGTTCTTGCTGCGGTATTATGGTAGTCTGATTTTGTTTTATTTGTTTGTTGTTGTTGTTTCATGCATGTAATTGCGTATATCTGCATATGCTTTAGCCAGTTTGCGTGTATGTTATTGTTAATTCTTGCGTATTCTTGAATGCACTAGTGTGCTCCCGAGTATTTTTGTATGATCTTTTATGTATGTGCTTGCTTGTTTGTATGCGTAGGCGCTCTTCAGTATACATAATTGGTATTCATACATTTTTGTGTATTTTGTTGTGTGTGTGTGTGTACTTACCTAGTTGTGCTGGCGGGGGTTGAGCTCTAGCTCTTTGTAAGCTCTTTGTAAGCTTCCTCTAGTGCAAAAAAAGAACAGCTACAACAGTTATTGGGAAAAGCTTGACCGATATAAGCCTCAAAATCTACCAGAATGTGCCTCAAAATCTAGCAGAATATGCCTCAAAATCTACCAGAATATGCCTCAAAATCTAGCAGAATATGCCTCAAAATCTAACAGAATATGCCTCAAAATCTACCAGAATATGCCTCAAAACCTACCAGAATATGCCTCAAAATCTACCAGAATATGCCTCAAAATCTACCAGAATATGCCTCAAAATCTACCAGAATATGCCTCAAAATCTACCAGAATATGCCTCAAAATCTACCAGAATATGCCTCAAAATCTACCAGAATATGCCTCAAAATCTACCAGAATATGCCTCAAAATCTACCAGAATATGCCTCAAAATCTACCTGAATATGCCTCAAAATCTACCAGAATATGCCTCAAAATCTACCAGGATGTCAGTGGTGATGTGGCACTTACAAAACCCAAACTGAAAAAGGAAGAAGCAACGATTAGGCTTTAAAAACAACATAGGACACACACTAATTTTGAGATATATATACACAAGAGTTGTTACATTCTTGTAGAGCCACTAGTACGCGTAGCGTTTCGGGCAGGTCCCTGGAATACGATCCCCGCCGCGAAGAATCCTTGTTACAACCAAGTACACATTTTACTGTTGAGTTAAACAGAGGCTACAGATAAGGATTTGCGGCCGGTAAATCCTCCCCGGCCAGGATACGAACCCATGACAAGGCGCTCGATAAGGATTTGCGGCCGGTAAATCCTCCCCGGCCAGGATACGAACCCATGACAAGGCGCTCGCGGAACGCCAGGCTAGTGTCTTACCACTACACCACGGAGACTGTAACTCTATACTCTTCAAGAGTTTACAGGCACAGCTGGTAAGAGCAATGAGGTACAAATCCACAGGCGAGGCGTCCCTCGTTCAGGGAGTTCTAAATTAAGGAGAATAACAATCTTAAGACAGGCTTCGGGAACAAATCCAATTTCTCAAATTTAGTTAAAAATATGGGACAAATCTTAGCATGCAAGAGAAATATTCCTTAGGGGGTTGTAGATGATGGAGTGTCAGGCAATAGTTGTTATGTAAAGCTTTAATGAGTAATTTATGTAGGTTAGCTTTAATGAGTAGTTTATGCCACCTGGCAGTGAAGATTTGGCCACAGAGAGGTGGGGAAGGAGGGGAAGGCCAAGCCTGCATGCTTGATACACAACTTAAAGATGCCAGAGAAGTTGTAAAGCTTAACAAAAAAGCTGGATGTAGGCTCCTGCCTCAGCTATTCATGCAACTTAGTATTCTTTTGACTTTTAGTACATTTCGGTAGTCAAGAAGTGCTTTTAAGTGATTTATATTATAAACAGTGTCCCATTCAGCTAGAAATAGTGGGATTGGGTGGTTATAAATAGGAGCTGCCTCGCATAAGCCAATAGGCCTTCTGTAGATGCCTTTGTTCTTATGTTCTTAAATTGATTTGATGCGTGGTAGAAAGATTTAACAAAGTGTGTTATCTATAGTTATTATACGACCACTTAAGTGGTTAGTGGGGGATTACGGATTTAATGATTAAATTTCTTGATCCATCACTCATTCAATCCTCAAAATTTGAAGTGGGATTTTGGCTGGCACCAAAAGGTGTATAACTTAACTCCCCAGTTTCATTTTTTTTTTACAATTTGTATTAACTGTTTTAATGATTTATTAAACTAATACCGAGCAGGGTATTATCCATATCCTCATCTTTCTGGACAGTAGTAAGTGATATTTATTATTCAGAGCATACTTAATTGAAGGCCAGGGCCAGATCCAGAGTTTAATATAAATTATAATTCCTTATTCATCGTGTCGGGGGGGGGGGGGGGGGGGGGGACAGGCAGCCAGTTCATATATACAGTACACGGTAGGTTTATATTGAGGTTCCTCCCCTCTGGTTAGGACTCCTAAAGGATGCAACCCCAGGATGTGTAGTCACCTAGTTGTGATTGCTGGGGGTTGAGCTCTGGCTCTTTGGTCCTGCCTCTCAACCGTCAATCAACAGGTGTACAGGTTCCTGAGCCTACTGGGCTTTATCATATCTACACTTGTGTGTGTGAATGTTAATATCTGGTGGACATGTTACAAATATTATTAATAGTGTTTACAACCAGACTGAGGCTTGCTTGATCTACAGGTGGACTCTGGCCCATGTGTGTACGCGTAGCTGCCCGAGCATCTACGCCCACAGCTGCCCAAGCACCCACGCCCACAGCTGCGGCAGCACCCAAGCCCACAGCTGCGCCACCACCCACGCCCACAGCTGCGCCACCACCCACGTCCACAGCTGCGCCAGCACCCACGTCCACAGCTGCGCCAGCACCCACGTCCACAGCTGCGCCAGCACCCACGTCCACAGCTGCGGCAGCACCCACGCCCACAGCTGCGCCAGCACCCACGTCCACAGCTGCGCCAGCACCCACGTCCACAGCTGCGCCAGCACCCACGTCCACAGCTGCGCCAGCACCCACGTCCACAGCTGCGGCAGCACCCACGCCCACAGCTGCGCCAGCACCCACGTCCACAGCTGCGCCAGCACCCACGTCCACAGCTGCGCCAGCACCCACGTCCACAGCTGCGCCAGCACCCACGTCCACAGCTGCGCCAGCACCCACGCCCACAGCTGCTCCCCCGCCCTATGACCCAGCGTTGGGCATGGGATTACCAGGGTGGGGATCCTACAATCTTTCGTGAAAAGGTAAATTGCATCATTGATGTACCGTGAGTGTTGTATTAACATGCATGTGTATCTTACATGTACAAAAGTAAACCAAATACATGAGGATCGACGTCCCCTACAAAATTTAAATGAAAATTAATATAATAACGAGTCTAATTTCCATTTAAATTTCCATTTAAACTTTGACTTAAGACTGAAACACAGTAGGCATTAATATAACTAAAATAAAGAGTTTAATATCTACTGTGTTTCAGTCTAATTGAGTCAAGGTTAATTGGCTAATCCACACTTTTACGAGGTATGATGTATAGAAAATCTTTCATCTTTTCCTACTGCTAAATACAACAATTAAGGGAGGGAGAGACTTCAGCATTCACCATACTTCAGTCTTCAGTCGACTGATCCTCAGGGGAAACTATGTATTTTGTATTTTCGTATTCATAACGATCAGGGGAAAACTCACCAGTCTACACGTATTCTTGTTCAATATGATACATAGTCCACAAACCTCTGATCTCTTCTCTTCTGATATCTCCAAACACACAGCTTCTACTCCTCAACAGATCTTCAGTCCCCTAACCTGAATATCTATCTATCTTGCTCTAAGAAGCTACAGCCTTCCTTAAGCCTGTCTATCGCTTGAGCTAACTTCTTATAAAGTACTGAGAAGTCCTTACATAGCATGCTTACATACCTTACTTACCATGTCGTAGCTCAGTCGATTAAGGCAGTGTCTGGGATGCTCCCGGACGCAGGTTCAAATCCTCGTCACGGCCCTTGTGGATTTGTTCATTTACTGAGAAGTCTTTGGAATGTAATTTTAATTTTCCATCAGGTGGGTTTTTTTTTGTGATACATCAAAGTGTGACGAAGTAACAGATTGTTATTGTTGGTTGGCAGTCTGTGCAGGACTTGAATGGTTGCAGATGGAATTGAAATTTTGCCCCGAGGGGCGAGTTTTTTGGGCAGCTCCACTCATCGTGTGAGTGGACATGGAGATGAAATGTGTGGAAACCTGAGTGTATAGGGAAAGGGGAAGATGAATTATCTACTGCAAATGATTTCTAAAAATCAGCATTGTTGCAGTCAATGTTTCAGAAAAATTATACAAAAATGACACAATATTGCAATATTGAGATCAACCGGCCTCTCATTTCCCTATTAAACCCTATTCCTCCCTATTAAATTTTCAACCTCGATTAAACTTTCAGTCCTATTAAATCTTTACCCTCCCCTCCCCCCCCCCCGTCCGTTTGGTGGGTTGCTTGGGTGCGTATGTACGTTTCTGAGGTTAGGAGGCTGGCTTTTTGACGTAGTGGCACGCCGAAAAAAACTGGCTGCTCATATGATTTAACCGCCCCCCCCCACCTCCTCCCTCACCATGATATTTCCAGATAATTCTACGGTCAAATGACGCGACAATCATCGATTGAAGCGAGTTTATGTTGGCACTAAAAAGATTAATTGGAAGCAGGTAGTTGAGGTGGTAGAGGTGCCACGGTCCTTGACCTCCAGGTGATCAGACATGCAAACAACCCCCCCCCCTCTGGCGGCTATTGTGTGGGGGGGGCTGGGGGGGGTTGAGGACAAGGGACTGAGAGAAACTTTATCAAGAAGCAATTAAGTGACTGTCAAAATGCTATTATAACGTGATCATAATTCGTTAATTACCTTATGCTGCTCGTCCAAGCTTGGGGGGAAGGGGCGTCCCCAGCGTATATCCTGGGGTTGTGTTTAACAAGCTGGGGTCGTTCAAGCTGGGGCCGTCCCCACCAACACCTCAGCAAAGGTCGTTCAAGCTGGGGCCGTCCCCACCAACCCCCTCTCAGCAAAGGTCGTTCAAGCTGGGGCCTTCCCCAGCAACCCTTTCTCCACAATGGTCGTTCTAGCTGGGGTCTTTCCCAAAGGAACATACGAAGTTTTTTCCCTATTCTGTAATATAAAAGTCAACTGTAATTTCTAAAATATAAATACATATTCCTATATATAATATTTGTGTGTATAGTTACACTTAGGATAGGTTATTCTAGATGTTTTAGTTTTGTGGGTGCAACCCAGATCCAGATCCAGTCCATTCCATCCAGCGGTCGACCCCAAAGACGCATTCATCAATTTTTACATGCTTTTCATTCAAAATGGGAATTTTCTAAAATATAAATTAATATTATTATATATTAGCATATTGTGCATATTTAGGCATTACTTAGGTTAGGTGTTTAGGTTCTGTTGGCGATTATTTGTATTTGTAGTACGTGGGTGAAGCATTTACAGCGTTGTGGTTCGAACACAAGTCGTCAGTGAAGCACTTGTTCCGGAAGTGTTTGAACGTCATCAGTTGTGAGTCGTGTGTAAACTGTTTCATTCATAAATAGGGGGGTTTGGCGGGTGCATGGAATGGACTTATGGGTCTTTGTTTGGAGGACGGGCTGAAACTTGAAATATCTGAAATATCTGAAACTTAAAACACCTGAAATATCGAGCTTGATTATACAGAACGGAATTTTGTTCACAAATCTCTACCACATCACTACCCTACACCTGCCACACCTCTACCCTACACCTGTACCCTACACCTGCCACACCTGTATCCTACACCTGCCACACCTGTATCCTACACCTGCCATACCTGTACCCTACACCTGCCACACCTGTACCTTACACCCGCCACACCTGTACCCTACACCTGCCACACCTCTACCCTACACCTGCCACACCTCTACCCTACACCTGCCACACCTCTACCCTACACCTGCCACATCTCTACCTTACACCCGCCACACCTGTACCCTACACCTGCCACACCTCTACCCTACACCTGCCACACCTCTACCCTACACCCGCCACACCTGTACCCTACACCTGCCACACCTCTACCCTACACCTGCCACACCTCTACCCTACACCTGCCACATCTCTACCCTATACCTGCCACACCTCTACCCTACACCTGCCACACCTCTGCCCTACACCTGCCACACCTCTACCTTACACCCGCCACACCACCACATGTCTACCACATCACATGGTCATGAGTCGACAACATCACCTTCCACACTGGGCTTACCACACCCCCACGACGACTATTCAGCCACACGACTACCATAGGCCTCCCATACCTCCACCTACTACACACAACCATCGTAGGCCTACCACATCACTTTACGATTACTACAGCACCACTCCAGGCCTATGCCATCACAACCCTAGCCCCATCATAGCACCGCAGTTATATCTTGAGATGATTTCGGGGCTTAGTGTCCCCGCGGCCCGGTCCTCGACCAGGCTTCCACCCCCAGGAAGCAGCCCGTGACAGCTGACTAACTCCCAGGTACCTATTTACTGCTAGGTAACAGGGGGCATTAGGGTGAAAGAAACTCTGCCCATTGTTTCTCTCCGGCGCCCGGGATCGAACCCGGGACCACAGGATCACGCGTCCAGTGTTCTGTCCGCTCAGCCACCGGCTCTCAAGTCCCCAGTTAACCATGTCCTGCTAATAAATAATTTTTAATTCAATTTGAAGTAATAACGAGGGAAGGGAATTATCAGGGGGAAAGCGCCAGGCCATCACGACTATATGGTACTGGGAAGGGGTCAGGATAAGGATTTGGGGTGGGACGGGGGGAAGGAATGGTGCCCAACCACTTCGACGGTCGGGGATTGAACGCCATAATAACAAGGGAGTGCTATAGCGAAACTAGCCACGTTATGGAGGCGGTACCCGCGGTATAGCAAAGTATTATGCGTTATAACAAGGTTTCATGCGTTATAATGAGGCTACCCGCGTTATAGCGAGGCTAACCATGTCCCAGCGCGGCGATTCACGTTATAGCGAGGTTATATACATCATAAAGAGGTCTGAGACGTTATAGCTACGCTACCCGCCATAGCGAGATTGTCGTCTTATTATCAAACACAACGTATTTGCTGATTTCTCAAAGGGTGCATTCGCATGCCTCTTACGACATCCAACCCTCATTTACGAAGAGGTTAATGGTATTAGAACATTAGCGGACAATAGGTGAATGTTCTGGACTCTAAGAACAGTAATGGCTGCGTATTACTTGTGTGTTATTACTAGATGAAGCAACGGACCAATTACTAAATGTCTTGTGGAGCAAGCCTGGCCGCCATCTTTGTTTAGGGTACACTACTCGACGCCATTTTTGTTATGGTACACGCCTGGACGCCATCTTTGGTATGGTACACGCCTGGCCGCCATCTTTGGCATGGTACACGCCTGGCCGCCATCTTTGGCATGGTACACGCCTGGCCGCCATCTTTGGTATGGTACAAGCCTGGCCGCCATCTTTGGTATGGCACACGCCTGGCCGCCATCTTTGGCATGGTACACGCCTGGCCGCCATCTTTGGTATGGTACACGCCTGGCCGCCATCTTTGGTATGGTACAAGCCTGGCCGCCATCTTTGGTATGGTACACTCCTGGCCGCCATCTTTGGTATGGTACACTTCTGGCCGCCATATTTAATATAGTGTTCAAAAATCTTAAATGTAAATTCTGTCAGCAGAACTATTCGCATACTTTGCGTCATTATATAATGGAATGTGAACAAAATAGCGAAATTCAGAGATAACACTATCAATGGTGTCCAAGAAATGTGTAAGTACTTCATTCCTAATGATATACTGCCAGGAACCATAGAAATGTATTCCAAATGTGGCTTACTGTAGGTAATGCTGCACATGACTGTAAAGCTGCCGCATATATATATATATATATATATATATATATATATATATATATATATATATATATATATATATATATGTCGTACTTAGTAGCCAGAACGCACTTCTCAGCCTACTATACAAGGCCCGATTTGCCTAATAAGCCAAGTTTTCCTGAATTAATATATTTTCTCTAATTTTTTTCTTATGAAATGATAAAGCTACCCATTTCATAATGTATGAGGTCAACTTTTTTTTATTGGAGTTAAAATTAACGTAGATATATGACCGAACCTAACCAACCCTACCTAACCTAACCTGTCTTTATAGGTTAGGTTCGGTTAGGTAGCCGAAAAAGTTAGGTTAGGTTAGGTAGGTTAGGTAGTCGAAAAAACATTTATTCATGAAAACTTGGTTTATTAGGCAAATCGGGCATTGCATAGTAGGCTGAGAAGTGCGTTCTGGCTACTAGGTACGACATATAGATATATATATAAATATCTATATCTATATATATATATATATATATATATATATATATATATATATATATATATATATATATATATATATAATATATATATATATGTGTGTGTATATGTGTGTATGATATTAACAATTGTATAACTATCTTCAAAAGCTTGTCACTTGCTTAATTAAATGAACTAAGGGGTTCAGTTCCTGAACCCATTATGTGCCTATGTACCCCCCTTTCCACCACCCCCCACGGGATGGGTATGGGGTGCATAATAAATTCAATTCACAGAATTGAATTTCAATTTGAAATTGAATTGTGTGTGGTAGGGCGCTTGACACAAAGAGCCTCGTACATATAAGGGCGGTAAAACCACAAAATGGTACACAAACATATTAATGTATCTATCTCTCACCTAGATTTGTATATTTCCTCCATAAATACTTCTAAATCGTCTCATTAAACAGATTGACAGCTGTTCTCTGTGGCATAAATGACGCTAACATGAACGTGAGTCAATTAATGACGTCATCATGAACGTGACTATTTATGACGTCAACATGAACGTGAATCAGTTTGTCTCAATTCACTGCAAATAAAAACCGAGCTCTTCAAAAAGAGAACTCTGTTTTTATTTTAATAATAGAAGAAATCACTAAGCCAGTATGACAAAAGTCTGTATGACTAGTATGTACAAAACTAATACTAGCCTACTATTTTCTTCCCGTAACTACGTTACTTTTCGCCTTTTGAAGAAACAAATGTAATCGATGAGATAACAAAACTTGGGAATAACGTTGGAGACTTAAGCAAGTCATGACAGATATTGACACTAATAAGAATTATTACAAGGAATTACATATTGGTGGAAACTTAAAGAAGTTTGATGCGACTATACAAGTTTGTGGAATAATACGATAAGTAAATGTATGTGTGTAAGGGTAGGAGACTTACCACACGCCAGGGATGGCAGCTACATGCTAGGGGCGGCAGCCATGTCAAACAGACGTTAGCCAGTCATGAGGGAAGGCAGTCAGACATGAGAGAAGGCAGTCAGACATGAAGGAAGGCAGCCACACGTTGGAGAAATAGGCAGCACGGCAGTCACACACCAGGTAGCCAAACTGGACGGAATTAACCTCCCTCTATTGGATAATTTATTGACCCGCGGACAGCAGAGGAGCTCCGTTGCTTTGCTTGAAAATTACGCTTATCAAGTCATTCTCTCATTAATTGATTGGGGTACAAAGAGCCCCGAGGTTCGTAGAGGCGATGCTGGCCTGCAAGCGTAGTAGTGGACCACGGAGTGAGGAGAGGAACACAGGCGGCTTGGCTTAGTGGCAGGTTTCACCAACCTAACTCATCACCGGTACTCACACCCTCATCATTATCATCATCGTCGTCGTCACTCACAGCCTGCCTCATCATCGCCAGGTTCGTGCTCTGCGTACTCATTCTCCTAGTTCAGAAAAAATATTGCAAGGTTAAACAGATATAATATTGACGCTATAGCCTAGCCAAACTTTGTCACACCGCTGAAATTGACCACCCCGAAAAAAAGTGATTAACAGCTGAATGTTGAAAATAATTTTTTTTTACCAGAATTGCCCTGGGTTGTAATTACGACATTGAACAATTTGACGAATTTTAATATAGTTTTGAACATTAGTGAGGATGTTGTAGTGAAAACATGTAAGATACGACATCAATTGGCAAACATTGGATAGTACTTATACGCACATTAAAAAAAATATATCAGCCAGCAACTAATTTACGAGACAATAAAACCCATAGTTTGTGTCTCTGAAGAGGTTGTTCTGTTAGCTTTAGTTTCTTATTGAACTTAAGACATATCAAGTGCATGAAGGGTTATTAATAGCCGTGTCACCAACTTACAGACCAACCAGCAAGTGTATTTCAGTCCAGAACACACTCCAGAACTAAAGTAAATTCTCAATGTATATGCACCAAGAAGCAGGATAAATCTGAATGTATATATATATCCCTGGTAGTTCTGTTGAACAGGCATTTACAGTTGTTGACATTCGATAAATAACAATTTCAAGTACAAACCCTCAAAAATTTGCTAGTAAACAAACATGTTTGTAATTCTTAAATATTTTCAAATACATTCCCGAGTTAACACAAATAATATCTTCAAGCAAATGTTGTAGTGGATCATTCAGTAAATAATAGTTTAGGCTGCAACAATCTCCCAACCCACATGAAATCCTCATTAAAAAAAAAGAAATGAACCCCCCCTAACTTTATCGGCAGGAAATCAGGTCACTTGAATTGCCTTTATGCACTTGGTTAAGGCACGTTCGTGTACGAAATAATATTTTAACTGGTAAAATAGGTCGGACTGACTGCCAAGGCTACCCCGCCTCCATAACTCTGGACACAGGGGAGGAGCGACAGACCTGTGGTTATAGGAATGGTTTCGCTGGCTACTTTTCTCACATTATTCTTTGCTTTTTCTTGTCTTAGTTACTGCCTTCATATTTATTATTATTATTTTTATGTTATTATAATTATTTACGTTATATTATATGATTTTTATTATATTATTTTCATTATATGATTTTCATTGTTATTTTATGATTTTCATTATATTATTATATGATTTTCATTATTTTATTTTATGATTTTCATTACATTATTATTATATGATTTTCATTATACTATAATAGGATTTTCATCATTAGTCTGTCTGAAGTTTGCAAACTAGAACTGCATTTTTTCGCTTCAGTTATCTGTAGCAATGCGGGGATTCTATATTTTTATTGAATACTATTTTATGATCTTATCTTTACATTTATGAGGTTTATGAATGATTGAAGTGGCAATATATTTTGATAACTGCCAGAGAAGCTAAATGGGGAGGAGATATGCGAATGTCTAACTTTGTAAAATAGACATAGAGGAGCCACATCACGTGTGCTGGAGAGTCTGCATGTACGGTATTGGGTCAAGCACATTAACTGTGCTTCTCACTAGATGTGCAACACTCTCTTGATTTGTGTCTTATGAGATAAGCCTGTGATAAGGAATCCCTAATTAGTGGAGAGTTCGCTATTTTACTGTAGCTCTGATTGGGGAGTTGTAGTGTTATATATCCTTAGCAATCTAGGACCGTGATGCACTATTTGTAAAAACGCTAGTTTTCTTGCGCATTTGGCTGTATTTCACATGACTTGTGAAGGAAAACTGTTCATAACTTTGTCCTTGTAATATTGATATGTCATAAATCAGTGCTTTTCCGCCAAACACACGCCGAAACTACAACGTTGGTACAACGTTCGAACAAGTTTTAACACCACCTAACCCGTTATAACAACCAATATAGCAAGTTGTAGCAACGTTCTAATACTTCATAAACACGTTAAGCCAAGATGTAACAACTTTATTACAAGTTGTAACAAGCGGAAAATAAGAGACAGTTTCGGTTTGTTTCCAAGGGGAATTCTCGTCTAGTCTTAGGTGATAGCATCAGGATTTCATAGATGCGCACTAGTGGTCCGTTCACACTTTGCTTTGCGCAACAATCTGGAAGGCTAGGCTACTTAGTTTTCAATTAGGTGCGGAAGATTACCATCAGTTCCAAGTTTCTCAAGCTTACCCCACCAATACTTCATGCCAGACGCTACCAAATGCTCCAGCAATATGCAAGGCTACGACATATTCTCTCCACAGTTGAGACTCGTGTTCCATTTTGCAGTAAACTGTAATAGCAGAGCTAATGTTATTTTATTTCCGAAATCAATTTACTTGCTAGAAAGTCGTTTTTATGAAGGTACTTTTCTAGTGTCACTGTGTACTTTTTGTGCCACTTTTGATATTATTAATAATATTAATTGATATTATAAGTGTGACTTTACTGCCACTATTATATATATATTTTTTTTTTGAGATATATATAAGAGTTGTTACATTCTTGTACAGCCACTAGTACGCGTAGCGTTTCGGGCAGGTCCCTGGAATACGATCCCCGCCGCGAAGAATCGTTGTTACAACCAAGTACACATTTTACTGTTGTGTTAAACAGAGGCTACAGTTAAGGAATTGCGCCCAGTAAATCCTCCCCGGCCGGGATACGAACCCATGACATAGCGCTCGCCGAACGCCAGGCGAGTGTCTTACCACTACACCACGGAGATTTATTTATTTATATGCAAGAAGATACAAATTTCTAAATTATTTCACTTTCGTGAATAATTGGAACATTCTTGGCGTCAATAACACACACACATGGCGTGTTAATTTGTACACACACACACATGCCTGGTGGAAGAAAAGAAAGAGACGGGTTCCTGAAGAGACGGGCAGGGAGGTAGGTGACTCTCTCTCTCTCTCTCATGCAAACCTCCTTACTTGCTCGTGTTTTTCACCTTTCATCCACCACACAACCCCAGAAATCACTATCTGAGGCCACGAGCAATACCACTGTGCGCATTTAACAATGTGTAGCAACAATGACCTTATCCGGAGGAAGGGGGAGGAGGAGGTGGTTGTAATTACACGAACTTTCGCTACGACAGGCCACGTATGAGTGTATCCCAGATTTATATTATGACGCGTGAGTGTGTACCATGGTCATATCGTGACGTGTGAGAGTATAACATGCTCATAGTGTGACTGCCTCCCATGCTCATATTGATAATAAGTAAGGTCAGAAGGTCACAATGACCTTCTTGGAGGAACGCCAGTTCCTCAGCAAAACAGACCATGGTGGTTGCACCGAGAGCCTTAACAACAATGAAAATGACTCGCCAGCAATTTAGATCATTTCTGGCAACTAGAAAGGTCTTCCACATACTATTCATTAAAATCTTCCACACAATTTTCTTGCTACTTTTCACGCCAACAAAACCATATCCGGTAGAATGTTCTTTAATTGTATATAAACAAACAATTTTAAACTAAACGCGTGCCAGAATCATCAAATATTTACTTTTCTTTTAAGTAAATAAAATCGATTTGAAAGTGGCGTTATTTGTACGTATTGTATTTCAAACATTATGTAGTTGAGTAATTCACTCTGGCTATTAATCACCCAATCAGACTCGAGGCAGGATTATTTGAGTCATATCTGGTACTGTACATGATAAATCTATTTCTCTCTCTACTTAGTAATATTTTCTAATTTCGTTTCTCTTATTGTAATTTATTTGATTTTATGACAGAATTATATATATACATGAGGTTTATTCTTGTATTCGGCATTTTATGGCGGAATAGTTTATCATCTTATTGATGTATATTGTTGACCTATCTCCGTGTTAGTGACCTTAGTGACACATTATTGACCTTGAACATATTACTGACCTTCCTTGTTAGTGACCATAGCGACGCATTACTGACCACGTTCCTTGGTCTTGACTTGAGTGACGCATTAGTGACCTCGTTCCTTGGTCCTGACTTTAGCGACGCATTACTGACCACGTTCCTTGGTCTTGACTTGAGTGACGCATTAGTGACCTCGTTCCTTGGTCCTGACTTTAGCGACGCATTACTGACCACGTTCCTTGGTCTTGACTTGAGTGACGCATTAGTGACCTCGTTCCTTGGTCCTGACTTTAGCGACGCATTAGTGACCACGTTCCTTGGTCTTGACTTGAGTGACGCATTAGTGACCTCGTTCCTTGGTCCTGACTTTAGCGACGTATTAGTGACCACGTTCCTTGGTCTTGACTTGAGTGACGCATTAGTGACCTCGTTCCTTGGTCCTGACTTTAGCGACGTATTACTGACCACGTTCCTTGGTCTTGACTTGAGTGACGCATTAGTGACCTCGTTCCTTGGTCCTGACTTTAGCGACGCATTAGTGACCACGTTCCTTGGTCTTGACTTGAGTGACGCATTAGTGACCTCGTTCCTTGGTCCTGACTTTAGTGGCGCATTATATATTGACCCGACTTGTTGATGGCGCTCGACTGTTGGACAACGCGAATTAGTTGACGAATAATTTATAGTGAGTTGTTACGGTTCATAGCGACTGTCAAGGTAGGAGAGAAAGTAGTGGTGGTGGTGTGTGGTTGATTGGTGGTTGTGGGTGTGGCTGGTGGTGGTGGTGGAGGTGGAGTGTAGTTGACTGGTAGTTGTGGGTGTGGCTGGTGATGGTGGTGGTGGTAGTGTGTGGTTGATTGTGGTTGTGGAAAGTTGAAATAGCAATACGATTGTAACAGAAGTGACTCTAGCATTAGTTGAATCATTAATAACTGTTGTATAATTCCTGTAGTTGAAATACATGTGATGATAGTTGCCATACTCTCGTAGCCACAGCATGGATGATAGGCTTAGTCACAGTAATAGTATTCACCGTAAGAGTTCGAACCTTCCTCACGGCTCATACTAAATTTCTCAATAATACTATTGAGTTACATAATATCAGATCAAGAGAAATATTAATAAAGTTAGTGATACATCAATACAGTCTTAGGTGATATTTGCAGAAGG